AAAAAAAAAAAAAAAAGACTTGAGAGAAAGCTGACCTTTCATATGGAGAGGTCAGAGAGGGCTTTACTTAGGAAAAGGGGACTGTGACCAGCTATATAACAGATCACAGAGCCCGGGATCCCACGCAGAACCCCGCCCTCCACTCTCTAGAACAGTGGTTCTCAACCTGTGGGTCGCAACCCACGGGAACTGTATTAAAGGACCCCAGCATTAGGAAGTTTGAGAACCACTGCTCTAGAACATTCTTTTCCCTTTGCTTCCCCACATCAACACCCTGGTAGCGAAGGCAGGCTGGCTGGCACAGGTGGGAAGGTGAAATTGTGGGCTGGAAAGGTGTGGCAGTCACACTTGTTCCAGGTGCCCAGGGCCCTGAAGCATCAAACTTCAGTCCCTGGCTTTGCAGGACTTGACCCTGTAGTCCCGATCCCCAGGACACTTCCCTCCAGCAGCTCTCAGGGCAGGGAGTTAGGAGCGCTTATTTGATGCTGGGCTCTCCTCTGGGGTGCTGAAATTGTGAGAAAATTTGTACCTGTGTTTGTAGCAGGAGAACCTGGGTGGTGCCACGTTGTGAAAATGTGCTATATCCTGCATTCTAGGCTGGAAGCTGAAATCTGTTCTGGAGCAGCACCCTCTCGGTGTGGGGAGGGAGCCCCGGGAGACTTCCTAGTCAGGCAGCGATGGCCAGGGATCGCCAGGGACCCCCAACCACACAAAGTTGTCGTAAGACATGTGCTTCTTGCTGAGATGTTAGGTGCTCTGCTGAGTGATGAGAAGGGCTATATACGTTCTGCGGAAATGATTGTATTAACTGGTCTGGGGTTACTGTTGTTTGGATGTAAACGAAGAGGTGATCGTGGAGGCTGGAGCACCTGGGATGACTGTGGTACACATGCCTTTCCTGCAGAGATGCTCCCTGACTATCATCAGATTCCACAAGGCAAAGATTCATGTATTTAATATTTGTAAGGGAATTGGTTTCTTAGGGGCAGGAGAGGACCTTTTGAGTCCTGAGTATTTGCATATTTTACAGAAGACATTGATCTGTCTGATGAACAAGAAGAGGCAACGTCAAGGTTGACTTCCCAAAATGCGATGACAAAGCCTCTAAGGGGAAGAGAGGCAGGGGAGAGCTGGGTCCCGTCTATGGACGGCTTTGCTTTATTGCTGACACTTGCTAAGAGGGCACATAGATAGCTTGCAGCCGTCTCTCGGCACCTGTGTCGTCCTGCAGGGGAGGAAGGATAGACCTGGCTTCCTGGACGCCAGCCTGGGCCCGAGAGCCCAGTGCATTTTTGGCCAGTAGGGAAAAAGAGCAGGCATTTGTCTGTACCTACCAGAATTGTAATTTTCAAGTGGTGTGTCATGGCACAGGGAAAGTCTTAGGTGTGCCGTGAAAATTTTTAAAAATCATTAATTAAATTACTTTTTAAAGAAGTTCAAGCACAGTAAGTATTTTCTTTTTCTTACTCTTTTTTTTTTTTTTTTTGTTAAACACAATTTAAGTGTGCTACAGAAGTATAGGTTCAAGGGCACTATGAAATAAAAAAGGCTGAAAAGCACTGAGCTAGAAGAATCATTGCCTACCTTCCAGGAGACGGGAAGGGGGACCTTCGACTCTACTTGTTTCTGTTGCAGAAAATAATCATGATTGTTTTGTATGAAATAACTTAAGTTATTATTTATATTTTAGTTTACATGGATGGGTTTTAGCTCCAGATCAGCATATTTGACATTAAAGAGTTGCTTTATACATTTCAAAATACTTTTATATTCATTGTTACTGAATGACTGGTCTCGATTCTCTCTGTTGGGAGTTGTGGGGATGGAACAAGATCAGGGAAAAGTTGTGGACACTGCTATGATTGGTCTGGCTCTCTGTGTTTATAAAGATTGGCCTGGATCTCTGTGTTAAGAAGGATTCCGAGGCTTCTCCTAAGCTCTGTGGGAAGGTGCTTCCTGAAGGATTAGTCAGGTCTGCTATGAATGCAGGAGGAAAGATCTGGTTACCTGGAACCTTGGAATACCTGTTATCTTTTCCGACCATAAAATCCCATGACTCTAGGGCAGTGTTTTTCAACCTTTTTTTCTCATAGCACACTTGAACCTACGGTTAAACTTCTGCGGCACACTGAAATTATATCGATGAAAAAAAAGAGGGAAAGAAAGAATATCCTTGCTGTGCTTTGAATTTCTTTCAAAAATATTGTAATAAATGTCTTTAAAAATTGTTGTGGCAGACCTAAGATCCTCTCCTGGCACACTGGTTGAAAATCACTGCTCTCAGGTAAGGGTCAGCCAATGACATCCCTCAGACCAAATCCAGCCCGCCACCAGTTTTTATTGAAATGGAGTTTCATTGAAATACAATCACACTCTTTTGTTTATGTGATGATTTTGGCAGCTTCTGTGCTCCAAGGCAGAGTTGGTAGTTGTGATGGACCATGTGGTCCCCCAAAGCCTAAAATAAGTATTCTTTGGCCCTTTACAAGAAAGTCTGACAGCGCTGTTTTAGGGCAGCTTAGTCCCTGCCCCCCGCCTCCATTTTTACAAATGTTTATTCTGTATCTCTATGAAGGAGGGAGGAAGATCTTATGACCTTCCCTTTTAAGAATAAAGAAAGTGAAATGTCATGAGGGGAAGTGCTTTGTCAAGGTCACAGTGCCAGGTGACCTATATAGGTCCCCAGAGGCCCCTCGTTCATTCTTTTGCAACATGTGACTTCAAGAGAGAATGTTCTAGCTTGGTGCAGAAGAATTTAATTTGTTTCAGGATAAGAATTTCCCATCAAGTCTTTAGATGGCAACAAGGAAGTGTGCAGGGAAGGGACCCTGGGAACTTTGCTGGTGAGTGGCAGGCAGACAGTCCATATGTTCCAGTTTGGGGCCTCCAAGCAGCAGGTGCTAAAACAGAGGGAAACGTGCAAGGGGTGTATTGGGGGGGATGCTTGTGAAGAATTCAGCAGGCCTTGGACTGGCTGCAGATCTCAGCCCTGGGAAAGGAGGGTGCAAAGGATTGGGTAGGAGGACCGTCAGACTGTGGGACAGTTCCCAGAAATTATCTGCCAGGTTGGTGGCACAGTACCATCATTGTGTGTCCCCAGTGTGCCCAGCCATTGATGAGTCATGGCCTAGGGGCAGTGTGGCCTGGCAGGAAGGCAGTGATGGACCCAAAGGGGCAGCACAGAGAAGCTGGCAGTCAGTTATGTGCCCCCAGCAGGCTCTCTTAAAGGGCGATTCGAGCAGAGCTCTTCTGTGGCTGGCATGGCATGTGGTATTTGCCCATGCACCCCAGGACAGATTCTGTGCTATGCCTGGAGGCAACAGAGATCTGAAGAAGATTATTTCCACTCTTAAGAAGCTCATGGTCTGGTTGGGACGACCAAACATGCCCCCCTGATTAAGCAAATTTACATTAAAATTATGGCAAAGGCAGGAATACAGGGGTGTGTGTGTGATGGAATGGTCTGAGTCGTCAGGAACAGTGTGTGCTGCCGGTTCAAAGAGGGACCCCGGGGAGGAAAGCTTGGGGTGTTCCCATTTGGCATAATGATAATGACAGAGATGTGTGCTGGGCACTCTGGGTCATCTCAGCCTCCTCCGTGCCCACAGGCTGTCTCTGTCCACTTGGCAAGCATTGAATACCCACCAAGTCCAAAGGCTCCGTGCCAGGTGAGGTGATTATGTGGGCCCTTGGCCCTAAACAAACTTATGACATTGAGGGAAGTATAGACACTCATGAGTCATTAAAAAAACAAATCTCTAGAAATACATACAGGTTTGTGTGGGATTCTTAATGACTGGACTCCTGCTAATATTCAGGTAAGGTGCAAATAATGGGCAAAGCCATAGCAACCATATATTATCAAGCTCTGTAATGCTTGATGCAGTGGTAGGAAGTCTTTTATTTCCATTTATTATGGAAAAAAATAGCAAATAATACACATAGAAAAATACTAAAGCATATAAAGGACCCAATTATACCCATGACTCCATTTCAATAATTATGAACTCATGGCAAGTTTAGCTTTGCCCATACACCCCTCCCATTGTGCTATATTGGAGCAAAACCCCAGAGGTCATGTAATGTCACTGATGGATATTAGGGTACATATCTCTAAAGGGTAAGGACGCTGTTTTTCTTTTAAAATATATCCATAATACTACCATACACATTTCACCTTCAGAGAAGGTGACCAGACAGAGAAGGAGGGAGGGGGTGAGGGAAAGGAAAAGAAAAAAAAAAAAAAAGAAGAAAATAATGACTAATTCTCACCTAAATTGGATTTCATTTTGACCAAAGAACATTACTTAAACATTAATTTTTAATTCGACTTGTTAGTATGTTGTTTAGGATATTGTATCCTCATTTATAAGTGAAATATGTTTGTAATTTCCCCTTTACAATAATATATTTTCTCCAATTTTAGTATCAGGTGTATCCAGATTTTGAAGTATTTCTTCTTTTTCTATTGTCTATAAGATTTGGCATCATCTGTTTTTTGAAATTATCTTTTACTTTCATTTTTAAATATTAGTTGTCTATTTTTTGAGACTTTGGAAAAAAAAATAAGTCGTTAACTGATGACTCCACACTGAACCTCAGAGTCAAAGCATTCTATAGTAGACATACTCTTATTTGACAATGTGCATGTTACTTTCTTTGCATTATTATTATTATTATTGCTTAATATTTCAATGCAGCAATCCTCTGATTTCTTTTCTGAGTCTATTTATCTTCGTTCACTCTTACGAGGTTTTTGTTTCTAGTCCTTATCTTAAACATTGTTATTGTTACTAAATTTTAAGCCTTTTTAATTTTGCAAAGGCAAAAAGTGGAAACCTAATAACACATGTGTATGTAAAAATATATAAATATTAAAATATATAAATATAAAAATATATGTCCCTAATAGTACCACACACATTTCACCTTCCTCGGCTTCATTTTCTTATTTATAAAATGGACATAATGGAATCTTTCTTTCAAGGTCATTATCTGCGTTTTATAATAAGTGCTTAAAAAACATGACCTTGCCACAGTCATGTTGCCTATTGTGATTATAACATGTGAGAAATTGTGGATCAGAAGGGCCTAGAAATCTGCATTTCAACACAATAGGTTTCTGAAGCAGGTGTGGCCAAGGCCACATTTTGAGACATTTTTCTGGGGGGGGGGTATACAATAATTGGAGCTGTCTTTTGATACACAAATTGAATACTGTCATTTTCAATGATTTTCCAGAGCTTTGAGGACACATTCAAATGTCTTATCTTAATCCCCAAGGTTCCGCAGGACCCAGAGCCAGCGATTCTCAAATTTTAGTAAGTATTAGAACTACTTGGGGATCCTGTTAAAATGGCTAGTCCCAGGTTTTGTACCTAGGGCTCCCAAGATGGTGCCTAGAAATCTATGTTTATTAAGTTCCTGAAGACTTCTGATAACAGCACCACACTTTGATGACTCTAGACTAGGGGACAAAGAGAGGCCCCCAGAGCTGCCTGGACTGGTCACCTGCAGACTTAGTAAGAACGCATATGCAAATGCAGACTTTGTCCACAACAGGGGGCAAAACTGGCAGCCTGAAGGCCAAATTAATCTTGCAAATCTGTGTAGGCTTTTTGGCCTGAACAGTACTTATTTCTTTGAACAGTTGCCAAATTTAAAACATTTATGAAGATTTCATATTAAAATCCGTATTTCCAGTCTCCTTAAAAGATAAAAAGATCTGATCACACTGGGCCTACATTTTCCCAGGGCAGTATTTGGCTGATGGTGGAAGATGTCCTGGGGTGGGATTACAGGCCCTCTATTTGATCTTGGTTCCCACTACTTCCCATTAATCACATCTAACCTGTATTCCTCGTTTACATTGGCCGCCTAGTCCTCAGCTACTTGACATCTGTGCATGTGTGTGTATGTGTGTGTGTGCATGCACACATGTGCCAGAGAGAGAGAGAGAGAGAGAGAGAGAGAGAGAGAGGGATAGTTCTCCTTGGCAGTGCAGATTAAGACCAAATTAAAGGGCCATGCCATGTATATCAGTGGTACCCATCCCAGGATACTCCCTTAATGGAAGTTTCTACAAATCTTCTCTGGGATAAAAGACCCATTCCATAGGCATGATCCCACCAATCACCCTCCCTCCACCCAACCTTCTCCCTCCCCTCCCCTCCCTCTCCCCTTTCTCCATATTCTTGGGGAATACAAATGTAGAATACAAATGTCTTTTTTTTTTTTGAGACAGAGCCTCAAGCTGTCCCCCTGGGTAGAGTGCCATGGCATTACAGCTCACAGCAACCTCCAACTCCTGGGTTCAAGCAAGTCTCCTGCCTCTGCCTCCCAAGTAGCTGGGACTACAGGCGCCCGCCACAACGCCCGGCTATTTTTTGGTTGCAGCCATCATTGTTGTTTGGCGGGTCCAGGCTGGGGATTCGAACCCGCCACCTTAGGTGTACGTGGCTGGCGCCTTAGCCGGTTGAGCTATAGGCACCAAGCCACAAATGTCTTAACAACTAAGAAAATGACATGAAGGCTATGCTAACCAATTGGATGAAAGTATTTCAAATTGTGTATAGAAACAATACACTGTACCCCATGAGAGTATTAATGTACACAGCTTTGATTCAATAAAAAATAAAAAGCAGAGATTGTCAGAATAGATTTTTTAAAAGAAAAATAAATTTTTAAAAACCATGAATAAAAAAAGAAGGCCCATTCCAGAAAAACGTACTCAGAAGATGCTTGTAGTAAGGTAACTGCCCTGGTCACAGCAGTCCGTTTCTCTACTCAGATGATCCACACACAACAGGAAGACCCCACAAACCAACTATCCAAGGACAGACTTTTACCCAGCCTTGAGGAAATTAAAATGAAAGCCACTCATACCCTTCTCTGAAGGCAACAAAAACACATAACTGAAAGCAAAGAGACACACACATGAGCACATGTACACAGTGATGTATTCCCATGGGAGTATATGAGTATGGATTTAGATACATTTATGTTTTATATTAACAACACCCGCATGATTTTGGTTGCACTAAAAAAAAAAAAATCACCGAATAGGAAGAAGTGACAGCTTATGAAATACTGAAAGTGAATGAATTTAAGAACGGTCTTCTGAGTGGTAGCATGAAATATTAGAAAGGTCACAGGCTTTAGAGTCAGTCTGACAATGACTTTATTGAATTCTGCAAGTAATGGGCCCTAACTCATAGAAGGAAAATCAAATGAAGTTGGGATGATCTTGGTGCCTGAATCAAGACTCAGGGGCCACGAGTGGCTGGTTCTAGACCTCTGATACTCTCTGCTGTTCATCCAATCACCTCTACTCCCAGGTGGGAAGCATTTTGCATTGGAATCTCCACCTTGGAGGCCACCTGTCTCTATACCCTGTCACCTGTGCTCACCTGGCATGCTCAGCCTCCTCTCTGCCCACCTGGAGAGCTTTGCCCTCTTTTCTTGGGAGAGTTCTCTGCCAGGGCTGTAGACTTTGGTTGGGATTTACAGGTGCTGAGACTCCGGGTGGCTGTTCTAGTTCTCAGTCTCCACACTTGCTGTCCCTGGTTGATCCCTGCCCCCCACCCCCACATCATTCCACCCAGCACATCCACTGGGATTGTTTATCAAGTGACCTCAAAAATTTGGATGAAACATTCCTGGCCACAGGTCAAACTGAGAACTTGGCGGGCCATCAGTGGCGCACTCCCATGGTAGGGAAGATGGCTATGAAGGAGAGAAAATAGGCCAGAGGGAATGCACACCCTCCTGTGTGTGTGACAGCCTCCTCTCCCAGGCCCATCCCAACTGCAGTGTCTCCATTTGAAGTTCCCTTTTCTCCCACTGGAACCGAGACTGCTGCAGAGATGCTGCTGACAGCCAGCTCCCAGGAGGAAGCAGGCTGGCTTTGCCCACACATGGGACTCAGATCTCTGTCTGCCTTCGTATCAGCAGTGGCTGGCTTGCTAGCTCTGTGCCTTTCGATAAGACAGCTAATCTTTCCGAGCTCTAGGTAAAAAAAATTTTTAAACGTGAACAATAACAACTATTTGTTGGCCTAATTGCCATTTTCTTCATAAATAAGGACAAGTCCCTTTATAACTTCTTCTTTTTCTTCTTTTTTTCTCTTTGAACTAAACATCTTGGAAGCCAAGAGTGAGTTTGTTGAGAAGCATAAAGGTCTGTTTTGTGTATGAAGAGCGGAGCAGAAAGAATGCAGGCCCTCATTCAGGCTCCAGTGCCCGGCTGGGGTAGCTTTCAGCAAGTTTCCCAGACTTTCTGATTCTCCATGGCCTCATCATTCAAACAGCAATACAAATACCACCTTTCTCAGGCTTAGGGTGTAGGGGTGATTACACGGGAGAGAAGGTGAGAATGTGCCCCGAGCCCTGTGAAAATCTGTGCAAATGGTGGACTCGCCTGCTGCTATGATATCACATCCTCTGGTGGAGCAAAGCCCTTTAATGACTGACTGCTTCTCACTCCACCTTTGTTTCCTTCCTGCTTCTCTGGAGTTGTGAATTTGTGGATAAAAAGGAGTGGAGACTTCTACATGAATGTCCCCAGCAGCATTATTCAAAGTAGCAAAAAAAGTAGGAACAACCCACATGTCCACGAAGAGATGAATGGATAAATAAATGGTGGTATATTCATACAGCGGAATATTACTCAACAACATAAAGGAATGAAATGAACCTTGAAAACTTTATGCCAAGTGAAGGAATCCAGCCATACAGGTCGCATACTGTAAGAGCCCATTATGTGAAAAGTCCAGAACAGACCAACCGATAGGAGACATGAGGTAGATTGGGAGTTGCCTAGAGCTAACGGGGGTTTTGGTGGGGTTTGGGGAGTGACTGCTAGTGGGAAGGGGTTTCTTTGGCGGGGGTGAAGGAAATTGATTCTGCCGATGGCTACACAACTCTGTGAATATACTAGAAATCACTGAATTATACACTTTAAATGGATAAATAATATGGTGTGAGTTATATTTCAGTAAGATTGTTCTATATTTTTAAAAAAGAAGTGGAGGCTGGGAGTGGTGGCCCATACCTGTAATCCCAGCACTTTTGGAGGTTAAGGCAGGAGGATTTCTTGTAGGCCAGGAGTTCAAGACCAGCCTGGGGAACATAGTAAGACCCGATCTCTAAAAAAAAAAAAAGAAAAGAAAAATGAGCCAAGCATGCTGGCATACACCTGTAGTCCCAACTACTTGGGAGGCTGAGGTAGGAGGATCACATGAACCCAGGAGTTCAAGGCTGCAGTGAGCCATGATCATATCACTGCACTCCAGCCTGGGTGACAGAGTGAGAACCTTGTCTCTTGGGAAAAAAAAGAAAGAAAAGAAAAAGAAAGAAAAAAATGGAGATAATTTTGCTTGTCCCCCTTTCCCCACCCAGCAGGAGCCCTGTAGGGGTCCCTTTGGAGCCTGTTTGGCTGCACTCGACCCCCTTTGACTTGGGTCCACCTCCTGCCCACCATGGCTGGTTTTCTCCTTGTGTCCTTTGAACAGGCCCAGGCACTTCATGACGAGCCCCCTTGTTGGCCCTGGTCATTGGTTGCATTACACCAAAGACCTTTCTCACAACGTTCTACCTCCTGTGCTGGGCCATCCTTTCATGGGGGCTGGGAACTGTGAAGGGTCTGGTTCATCTTGGTCCCCCCAGTCATTGATGTGTGTGTCTCCCAATATGGTGGATGCAAAATAAATATTTCTTGAATGAATGGTTATTTACATAACAAAAGGGCTCCCTTTAGGTTCCTTTAAGCCTTGAGCTCTAATAGGTCAAGACCATTTACAAGTCTGTGAGAGCCTTACAGAAAGCAGAGGGAGTTCTCACATGGTTAGACTCTGCAGCAGCTCTGCTGGGAAGGGATTGACGTCCATGTTCAAAGTCACATCATAGGCCATTATTCACCCCAGGCCAGGTTAGTCCCCAGAGCCTGCCCTCTTTATAAGGGCTCTTTCTAGCCCAGCAGGACAGTGACGCTTCAGAAAGGGAGGGTGGCAGCAGGTGGAAAAGATAAAAATTAATCAAGCACAAAGCCACGATGGGTGAAGGGCAGATAGGAAGTGCATGTAAATCACCTCCAACTTGGGACAGCTGGTCACCATGTTGGGTTTCCGCCACCTTTTCAGGGTACCATGAGCTGCACATTTGGTGTCAAAGAGGCTCCCCTGCTAGTGACCCCAGCCTGGCTCAGCCCCGCTAAGGAGTCACTTCCCCTCAGTGGGGAGAATGCTCTTGGCAAGTTAGAAGCTGCCAGGGCTGGAGCTTGGGGCCCCACGTGACCACTCGGGGCACTAAACTGCAGCCCCTGGGCCGGGAGCCTCCACCTGGAGTGTCACTGAGCTCAGAGCTTCACTCCCTAG